ATCAGCTTGCAGGGACATGTAGCTTTCCTTAAGATAGAGCACTACACCCCCACCCCTTTTATCTACACGATCCCTCCTGTACAGGGTATAGCCATCTACACCCATGGTCCAGTCATGGGTGGAGTCCCACCAGGTCTCCATTATCCCTATGATGTCATAATTATTTGCATTGAGCAGAAGGACAAGCTCCTCCTGCTTATTCCCCAAGCTCCTGGCATTTGTGTACAGGCAGGCAAGTGTCCCCTTGGGGGCTCTTGCCTTGCCCACAGATTGTACCAGGTCTGGGGCAGGGGTGGACTCCCTTAAGCACCTTGGCCTGCTGGCTTGAGCTGGGGATTGGACTAGTTGGCTTCACAAGGGTCTTTTCTGCCACATTATTCATGCTTAGCTCCAGGTAAGAGTTTGGTGAGTCACAAGTTATTACTTTTCTCCTTTTGTTCCACCCTGTTATACTGTAAGTGAAGCAGGCAGCATATTTCAGTTTCTCATTTTATAATTTTATCATTTTTCTCTTTTTAATCCTAGTCTGCCAGCCATATTGCTTCCAATCCAAAAGCAAGTGCGAAAGTGAAAAAAGACAATATAAAGTATGCCAGTTGGGCAGCTAACCAAATAAATAGAGCTTACCAGGTTAGTACTTTTGCCTATATTCAAAAGTTTTGTCCTGGATGTGTTTTAAATCTCCATTTTACAATAAAATGGGTTTCTGAAAGATAGGATGTGTGCATATCTTCACTGCTTATGTGAACAGTCTATAGGCTAGAACAGTGATTCTCAACCAGCGTGCCTTGATTTTTTTTCAAGGGTACCATAGGATGCAATCACATTTAGCACTTCTGGTTGTGCCAGTGTGATTCACAGAATAAACTCAGAGATTTCAAATACGAATCTAGTGTTAAAAACATATCTCTGTTTTGTAGCATTAAAACAGGCGTTTTAACCTCTACAGTTGTCTCAGTGTCCGAAATGGTGCTTTCATTAAAAAGGAAAGGATTTTAAGGGCGTAATTTCTCTTTGGACTATTAGAACTTGGTACATTAGAGAGAGTTTCCACTTCCCACTGCTAGGCAAACATTTTCTGACTACAGAACACTCATTAAAAGATTCTTCTTTTGTTAGAGTCTTGTGTAAAGTATGGTAAAGAAATGTACAGATATTTCACTCAAAAAGAAGTCTCCTGTTCCATATTTATATGCTTACAACACTTTTAGGAAAAACCCTCCCTTACATAAATAGATAATCAGTACATTTTAGCTGTTTGTGACAATAGGCAGCGGGTAAAATGCTGTTCAGTCTTTGCATCTGATTTGCACACAGCTGTGTTGACTTCCATGGGCATTGAATTTAGGCCTTTAGATATCTATAAGTAAGATAGCCCAAGGAATCGCGAAGATCACAGCACACACCAGAGAAACATGAAGGGCAGAATTCTGTGGTAGGTTTATCACAGATAAGCAAAGTAGGATAACATTTAAAAAGATGTATTTCTCAACATTCACAGAAGTATTACTCATGTGAAAACCAAAATAAAACACGTTGCAGAGGTCAGAGAGCTTTAAAGATTTTTAAGTTATTCTAAGGACTTGAGCTGCTTAGTTTGAAACACTGGTAGATGTGATGGTCCTAATACTAGAGGGGGAAGGGGGAGCATAATGTATTCATACTCTGGAAAACAACCCATTTTAAAATATCTCTCAGTCAGGAATTCCTTTCCATAGGGTTGACCATAGCAGATTGTCATAGTCATGCATCTGTCTTAACAACACAGTTTTTTCTCAGGGAATATGACTCGTGGTTTTGCTTTGTATTTGTTTATTTTATACTTTATGCTACAATTACATCAATTTTATGAAGTTTTGTTGGAACTTTGTCCCTTTCTTAGTTGATGCTTTTCAGAACAGATCACATTAGCATAATTAAAATATACCTAAAACAAATGTCATACCTTCTTTGTTATTTCATACCTTTTTAATACATTGTGTACTCCAGCTGTATTTTTCAGCAGTTTTGACATAAAGTGAGAAATACCATATTTATCCGAAAACTCTGGAGGAATTTACATAGGCAGAGTGTAGCAACTCAAATTAGAATTTGGCCAGCAAATGGAGAGAACACCCTTACTTTTGTAAAAAGTACCACGAGAACCTTTAATGAATATAGCTAGATGGGACCACCTCCCAACCCAATCCACCTCCCAGACAAGAGCACAGCAGGGTTTGGCCACTCCCTTGTTTATGTTAGAGACATTGAAAATCCAAATGCTACAGCAAATGGTGTTGGTGTCCTAGTATGTAGCAGTCTCCCCTCTGAGTCAGCGTTGCATCATTGCCCCTGCCAAACAATGTGGTTTTTTGAAGATTGTTGGAAGATTGTCACTTTTAGGATATAAAGGTGAATCCATGGTCACTTGCAACAATTGAAGTCCCTGTAGCTTTTCATAAGGAGATTCTTATGGCTAGATTCTGTTTTAGATACGTAACTTACTGATATCAAACTGTTCACTGTTCCCATATTTCCCAGGGTTCTGTGCAAATCAAGATAAAATCCTGGTGAATCTGGCATGGATTTGGTATATCACTTGGACCTGTTTGTATTGTTAAGAACACTGTTCAGCCTTCAGTTATGCATACTTCTATCCCAGGGGTGGGCATTTATTTTGGACAGAGGGCCACTTATTGAGTTTTGGCAAGCCATCAAGGGCTGCATGACAGGCAGCCCAGGGCAGATAAAATATTCATTTTCTAAATTTTTTAGGGGCCCCGCGGGCTGGATAGAATGGTCTGGCGGGCTGCATCCAGCCCCCAGGCCACATTTGGCCCATCCCTGTTCTATCCCAAAGAAAACCCATTTTCATTCCAGTTTGGGTACCTACCTGAGTAATGTGGATTGGAGGCTTGTGAATATGGAGGTTCTAACTGAAAATGTGTAGAGGTTTTAGAGTCTTTTTGCAAGGCTGATGTTCATGAGATGCTTTTTTAAAATTTGTTTTTGAAACATACATTCCCTGCAATATTATGCATGGTACATTTTTTTTTAATCTTCCTCTGTTTTGTCAAAATTCAAGACCACATTTTCAGCTGTAGTTGTGCTGTTTGTTTTTTCATTGGCTATCCTTGGTAATCCCTAATTTAGGCATGGATTGACAGTCTGCCCTCTGGGCAGGCTGTCCATAGGCATTTGGCAGCTGCTGAAAAGCAGCAGTTGTCACAGAGTCTTTCACCCTGTAGACCTGAGAGGGGTGAGAAGAACTGCTCTCTTTCCCCTGCTCCCTGCACCAACCAGGGTCACCCCCTGAGTAACTCAGATGTGTGCATGGAGCCTGGGGGTGTTCTTTTACACCTGGAACTGTCACAGGGTAGGAGGCAGACATGCCTGGGATTGGAGCTTTCGGCTGGTTGGGAGGACAAGTAAGGGGGAATTTTCCAGCAGCAGGAACCAATCTCAGAGTCAGAGAAGGATGCCTCTCCGTGAACCCTGTGCACCCCTCGGGGTCACCCAGAAAGCATGCATGGGACAGGAGATAGAGACATGGGGCAGGTCCAGCTGTGGGAATTACCCCTGCTTGTGCATAGACTGGTTTGGGCAGGGGTGGGGTATAGATGCCTGGGGCTTGTTCCAGTCTGGGGGAATGTTGTCTTCCTCCCCCGCCCTGCACTTGCACAGGCCTGGGATTACCCACATCCGTTCGGTGGCTGGGATACATTAGCACCCATAGCAGGGTCCCCATTGAGCACAGGGTCCCTTTCCCTTGGAGAGTGGGAGGGAGTGTAGTGGACTGTGAGACACTGGGTGTCCTCAACACCTGAGAAAAGTCTATACTTTCAAGTTACTGTGGGAGGGAAGTAATCTTCCAGGTTGAAAGAGGAAGAACCTCCAGGGCTGGAAGATCACCATCATGCCCTACAGCTGTGGGGATCCAGAGTCCCGCAGCTGTGGACATGGGACCCAGCAGTGCCCCAGCTGGGCATGGTACACCCCTGCAGCTGGGAATCCAGTCAGCAGACTGGGTTCATAGTCTCAGGGGAGACCCTGTTACACGTGCAGCCATCTATAAAGTCAGTACACATTTTTTGAGTCTAACTCTATAGCTGGTTTGACCTTTTTATGGTATGATAGGTACTTTGTAGCTGGTCTCAGTTAATTGCTCAATACAGGTAACGGATATTGGGGGGTTTGATAAATATTCTTACTGAAGTAAACGTTAAATATTTGACCGTTCCTAATGATTAGGTCATTCTCCAACTGCGTGGTTTAGGAGAAATATTAGCTTAAGGAAGAAGGAAGTTGTCTAGGCACCCAATGGTTACTTGGGTATAATGGTTACTTGGGATTATAATGCCTGGTTTCTAACCCAGGATTTAAAAAGGCATTGCTCACAGAGGTTTAATAATTTGTGCAAATACTTTAAAACCTTTTTTGGAGGATCTTATCAAAGTACTAATTATTGAAATAATAAATGCATATCTCTCATTTCAAATGCATTTAAAGCAGTGATATCTTAAGCCTAGGTTTTTGATTGCTTGGTCACTGGACATCATTTGAGTAAATTCTGACCTGGAGATCAATAGTCATAAAAACATTTTGTATATAACTGTAAGCATGAGTCACACAGAAATGATGACTAAGAACTGCTACTTTTTTTCACTTAACATCGAAAGAAAATATGCCTACCTAGTGCTCCTCAATTAGATAATTAGTTTAGCATGTCTTCTGGTGGCAGCATTTTAGCAGAGGCAGACAAGTTTGATTAATGCTCTCAAAAATCTTTAATGCAATCCAACTCATGGTAATTTTCCAGATAAATGCTTCTTGGGTACGCTGCTAAATTCTTCAGTGTTAGTGATCTAGACGTTGTTTATGATTGGAGAGGTGATTCTGTTACAAACCATTTGGGAAACAGAAAATTAAATGATGATTAAAAAAAAAAAAAAGGATTCCGGTTCAATCAGTTGAATTGCAGTATAATGGCAGAATAGGCAAAATAATTGGTTGTCAAGGAAAATTGGAAGTAATTAGATTTCTGAGTTTGTTATGATGCAGTTTGGTTTTATTTGTTCAAACTTAAAGTATATGTCAGTATCGTTAAGGTAGCCACTCTTGAAATTAACAAGTAACATTTCTTAAAGTAATGTCAGGTTTGTTCTTGATGTTCCTAAGGCAGAAAAAGAATAACTTAAATTCTGTTTGTTTTAAATTCTCCCTCCCTCTTCTACCCCCCCACTCTCCTCCCATACACACTTTTTTCCTCATATGTAATATTGCTTTTTTGACACTAGCGCATTCAAGCTTCTGAATTTTTATTGCATGCATCTCGGGAACCGTAACACACGTGCTTATGTTTGGTGGCTTTCTTTTCTCTTTTTTTAATCAAAGCTGTTTCTTAAGAAATTGGACCTCCCCAAGCATCTAATTAGGGCTCTTCTTGTTTTGTGTGATAGAGAAAAAGGAGGTGTAGGAAAAAAGACTTTCTATTCGGTTGAAATCCAGGCAAAAGATTACTCTATCAGCAGAGGGCATTAAGCAGTTTGTTGTTCCTCTAAAGTTTTTTTTTTATCAGTGTGGGCAGTTAAGAGGTGGATTTACAGCTACTCATAGAGTCAAAATTCAATGGTATATCAGTTCCAGAATTCTCATGCTATAAAACTGTGGCATTTTATAATTCAGGGATAAAGTAAAGGGTTTGTTGTCATAACTGTGTATTGTAAGTCCAGATATTTAATTTTAAATGACTTTTTATTTACTTTTCCCAGTCTAGATTTTTTTAACAACACAAAGTTAGCTGTTAGGAACTAAGGGAATCCTAATTTTCAACTGTAGCCAAGGGGGTCAGAAGCAGGGTAACATCTCCTGCAGATTGTTGCTGCTGTGATATTACCTGAGCCTGATTACTTAATCTTTCTCAACAGGTCATGGGAAGTTTGCTAAATTAAGTTAATTACAAGAGAGAAGGAACACATAATAAATCAGGGACTAACTATGCAAGACATCGTGCTTTTTGGGGGGAAAAAAACCATTACATTGAAAATTTATTCAATGGTTAGATGTTAACATTTAGTCAGAGAATAAACTGTTAATAACAGAAAATTACAGTCAGGACCAAAAAGGTTTAGTGTAGGTATTTTAAAATGTGGAGAGGATTCATTTGCTTAAAACACCATCCTAGCCAATAAATCTACCATGTTAAATCAGGCTGATGAGTGATGTGAATTGTCAGTACAGTTAGAAAACTCATTTTGAGATCAGCATGGGGTAGTCAACAGTCCTTTACCCCCACCTCCCAGCCAAGCTTTATGTATTGTAGGGACTTCAAAAGCTACATTACACAAAGATAATATTTGCCAAGCTGTATCTTTCTTCATTACTAATATAGATTTAATTTCAAATTGGAATTACAGTTGTAATAGTAGACTATAATCAAATAAAACTTCATCATTCACTTTCACATTGTTGAACCATGAAATGCAATCATAGGATGACTGCATTGCTTTTTAGTAGTTTAAGTAAAGTATTCCAGTCCTTTGCTGTAACTGTAATGAAGTCTTATTAATATTTATATAATGTATACCTACTACCACCATGAAAATATGGATATGATCTAATATTAATCAAATATACAACAGAACAGGGTTTTTTTAAAAAACCCAACATTTCAAATTATAGAGCAGGCAGTGCTGAAAGGAATTTATTTTTTTCACTACAAGTGAGAGGAACAGTGGAAAAACCTGTGGTAATTATCCAGTTTACTCTCCCTTTCAGCATCCCCTCTCTGCCACTATGACATAGGATACTGGGCTAAAGGGACCTATGGTCTGACCCAGTAAGTGGCAGTTCTTACATTCTAAGTAATTACTAACTGCAATATCAGAGTACAGAGATTGATCTAAAAAAATTCAAATTTAGAATTAATTCTGATGTGCATGACAAGATAACGATAGCTTCTATAGATTGTAACTGAGGCAGAAACAGCTGATATTATTAAAAATTAGCATGCATTGTATGTTTTATATTTATAGTAAATAGATGGTGCATTTTTGACAATTACTTTTGTTTCTATTAAAATTCAGAACTGCAGTTTGCACAGGACCATTGCTCAGCATTGTGTAGTAAATGTCTATGACACGTTTGTTACAAATTTATTTAATTCTTTTCCTTAGGTTGCAGGTCGCAGTAAAAAGGAGACTAAATACTCTTTGAAGGCAGTGGAAGACATGCTGGAAGCCCTGCAGATCACTCAATCATAGGTTGTTATGGAGTTATAACACTGAATTTCACAACTCTGTTCAGCCTTTTATGTCTTCTGAGTTACTTAAGCACCCAGTGCTGTTAAAAGCAGTTCCATTTTAATTAGTTTATGTGACTATCTTAAATCATATGGTTTATAAAAATGAAATTGCTTATTTATTAATTCAATGAAGAAGATGGTGAAATCCCACTGAAATTAATACTTTATCTCTCAAAGACAAAGAAATTACATTTATTGCACAGCAACTCCTTTAGTTCCTTTATGTTACAGTAATGATTTTAAGTCATAACCAGGTATAGAAATAAAATTGCTAAATGATGAATAAGTTTGGTTATTTATTGGGACAACCTATGGCAGCTTCAGTTTTCCATGTAGATAATTTTATGTAATGTATTGTACTTCTTTAATTAAAACAAAAGAACATAATCAAATTTGACTCAGTAATATTTACCAAACAGACAGACATGAACCATAATGGTGCCTCAGCACAACACAGTTTATGGGTGAATAAAGTTGACATACAAGTTTTGTGTTAGAGCATTTTTAATATGGCAGTCTGGAAATGGAAGCAATATATGTATGGAGTTAGCTTTAGCTGGTACAGGGATGTGTTTAAATGGTGTGCTGGGGTCTTTGTGGGCTAATGTCTACTTGTCCTTTCAGCCATCTCTTGGTACATCTGCACGCATCCTTTTTATCTGTACAATTAGGGACATTATGGAAAGAATGTATGTTCTGCTGCATGTATTTAAAATTGTCTCAGTAAAACAAGTGTGGTATTCTGCACTAGTTTTGTATTTAGGGACAAGCTGTAACACATGGTTTATACATCATTAATTCAGTTTCTACTAATTCCCAGTGTTTTTAATTAAAAAAACTATGCCAATTTAGTCATTCAGACATAATATCTTTAACTGGAATTTCAGCAGTTGATCGGGAGAACAAAAGTAAATCGGCCAACAAAAATTCCAGTTGCAAATAGTCCAACACAGACTTTATGTTGAACTTAAAAATAATGAATAATAGTTTCATATTTTAAATTTCATTTAATATAGACATTGCTAAATTAAGATATATGCACTATAAACCCCTTTCTGGGATCCTTAAATTACTGGGATCATGCAATGTGATCATAATCTATTTTCATTTAAAAAAAAAAAAAAAAGTTTCTGTCTCTTGTGGATTCAAAGCAACATGACCCAAGTTTTACTGCAGTTTGCCCAAGTCTGTTTGAACCAACAGCTCCAGGAGGTGTGAACTGCACCTTCCATCTGAGCTCTGTAACATGCTGTCATATACAGAAGAGTGGTGCGATGACTTGGGGTCTGTTTAGAGTCCCACATTGTTGTAATTCAACCCTGCTACATACTCTGTGGGGTATGTTACAAGGGACAGAGTAAATCCATGTTCCAGGACTGTTTCCCCTTGTTTGGTTGACCACAGAACCGAAACAAAAATCATGAGTTAATTCTACGTTGAGTTGTTAGAACAAAACATGATAGAAAATTTTGGTTAAAAAGTTGAAAAAATGGCAAATCTATTTTCTACCATAGACTTTTTTAAATGTAACGCCAGTGCTATGTACAATTTTATTTTTAATGAGTTTCCTTTGAATTGGTCATGTATTGTAATTTTTTAATATTCTCAGCATAGTTATAAAGTATAAAAGTGATTTTTTTTCAATATTAGGAATGGATTTTCACTGTTAATGATAGAAGGATTAGAAAGTAGTCCTCATGTTCCCGTAAATATTCTGTACTTAACTATGATCTTATTCTAATCAGTTCCAAAGAAAAATTATTTCACCCTTCCAGTTTACTAAAGTAAAAATAGTTGCCTTGTTTGTGTAATCTGCTTTAAATAACTGAAATATCTGAAATTTATTACAACTATTTACCAATGTATATTCAATGAATTTTAACATTGAAATAAATTAAGTAAATTATGCATTAAATACGTTACAGATCAGTCCTTTTAAAATGTGGTTTTAAAATGTCTATATATTGATTATAGGTAGGTTGTATCGTGGGAATCAAGGAGTGAAATTATTATTTTTTTAAACCAAAAAACCTGAAGGCTTGGTCATGAATAGCTGTCTTCTGTGGGAGTGCGCCATCTAGAGTTCTAAAACTCCTTTATTTTTAATACATTCTCAAATAATTCGGTTTTATCTTGAGCTCTAAAAGAGTTGTGAAGCTGTACTATAGACTGAATTAATTTAAGCAGCAATCAAAATTGAAACCATTCTGTATAAAGATAAAACCTCTTCTGCTCACAGATTTATATTTAGAAAATATATTCAGTTTGCAATACATTTTATAGCTGAAACAAAGTTTAATTAATGTGTGTGTAGTATTAAAATACTGAAGCATGTTCATTTCACCTGAAACACCGCTCAGGTTCTAGATCCCTTTTTAAATCAAGCCTGTGCTGTGAAGATTCAGTTTGCAGTGTGGAGTTTAGGACCATCACAAGTAAAAACCACACAAGTTCCAAGTGTCAGACACAGAAAGACTTTCGAATTGTTTAGACTTCTTATACATAACTTCCCATGTTGTTATAAGGATTCATTCTCTCAAAATTTATTTCTGTGGTAATGTAGTAAACTTTTAACTTGTGCAGTTGAGCTGCATGGTATACTAAATCGCAATGTGTTAAAATTATAGTTCAGTAGCCTCATGCAGTTGGCAGCTAGGGTCCTTAAAATGGGCATGTAAGGAGCGCTACCTTACAGACAGCAGTTGTATAACTATTAGCTGAATCGACAGTTTGACAGCTGTAGGTATTCTGAATTATCCACGGAGCAGCCAATTTAGTTTCTTTGAAATTATTCAGTGCTTCCATTTTAGTGATTGCTTATAAGTGATCTATTGTTTATGACTGCTCCTTCACATCTTAATAAATCTGCTACATTGGATTTGTTACAAGTGATCTGTTTTGTGGCCTGGGTAGGTTTTCCAAACTGTTGACCTTACAAATTGACCTTGCAAATACTTACGAAAACATATATTAGCATGAATATTTTGATCTTTAATGCTGACACATGTAAACAATATATTTGCCTACATATAAATGTTCCTTAAAGTAGTGACTGTGAAGTAGTTACAAATGCTGTCAAATTGATTAGTTTTCTATGCAAATGAATGTTTGTAAATACTACTTCATAAAATTAGCTCAATGCCTTGTCTGGATATTAGAAAATGCCTTTCATAGTTTTGTAATTTGGTATCTCATCCACTTTGAGATAGATTATGAATTCTTACAAATAGTACAGCTAATTATAATAACTTTTTTTGTAAAATGAAGGATTACAGGACTGGAAGGCAATTTGGAAGTCATTGAGTCCCACCCCAGGGGAGATACAGGATTTGCTGTTTTATCCACCTCAGAAAGATACCTTTCCAACCACCTTTGGAAAACTTCCTATGAAGAAGATTACACAATTTCCCTAGGCTGCTTGCTCCATTGTCCTTCTGCTTTTAGAGTTAGGAAGTTTTTCCTAAGACCCTGGCAATGCTTATTTATGTTGACTGTAAATAACCCCCCAGATCCTTCTGGACAGTGGTACAGGCAAGCTAGTTATTTCCTATTAGATATTTAAATGCTTGATATTTTTCTGTCTTACATGTAACACCTTATTATTGATGTTGTCTTTGATTAGTGGATAACATGTTATGCTAAGGGGTTATTTAACTGAGAAATAAATTTCACTCCCTTCAGTAAGACTGACAAAGACAGGCACTGTATAAAATGTTAAGTTCTGTCATCAACCTGCAAGCTCTTCTCTTCAAAATAATGTTTCAAATGATGCCTGGATTAGACGCTGTTTTTGAAATGATGAACAAGAAGCAGTTGCGTCTTATTCTTTTATTTTGTGCACCTGCATTTTCATAGTGTTTGTGTTGCAGAGGTCTTTATGTTATGAACAAAGTGCAACAAAGTGACAGCAGAACCTCTCATTGCTCATTTATTTCAGAAGTTACTGAAATTCTGAGTTTTACGTAAATGTCAATTCCATAGTCTCCAGACCCAAAAGATCCATATATCCTGTTTAGACAACAGCTCCAAACTTCTTGCAGTTTAGTGTCCAGAATACCTTGCAGTTGCTAGGGGAAGTTTTGTAGTTAGTCAGTGGAGTATTTCCTCTTGGCAACATGCTTTTTGTGATGGCATCCATGTTTGCTGGTCATTGCATTTGCAGTGGAACTTGTATTTCAGCCAACTTTGGAAGGGAGAAGAAAAGGAAAGCAAATAAAACATGACTTACTGGCTTGAATTCATTAGCTTTTTGTTATTTGCACCTACATATTCCAAGACACCAATCATAACTGCAGTCAGGCTTGTAATAATAACTCTCCATATTGTAGTCTCATATATTCAGCCATAAGGCCAAGAGTTTATTACAATCTAAAATATACACATCACAGTTAAAATGTTTTGTGAATTGTTACAACTACCCTGGAATTCAAGACAAGGGTAGTTCTTTTGCCCTCACCCAGTTGAGATTAGAATGAAAGAGCATTAAAATGCTTTTTAGACCTTGCTTTTTGTTCTGATAACTGGTTTCACTTGATACACCTTGAAACACAGCTTATATTGCTGACTTTACTCAGTGTCTGAAAGAAGAGAATTCTAGGACCAATTATTGCTTGGAACTGTAGATATTTGAATCTACATGGTGGGTAAAGTACTTTGGATTAGTCATTAGTCTTATCTGAAATGACTCTGCACCCTCAGAGATCTGTATCTGCTTGATAGGCACCAGCTGGAAGCTGGATTTAAACCAGAGACTGTAGTTTTCAGAAATACAAGGTCATTAATCTACCTGCTCTGAAAAGAAAAAAATGTTCTGACACAGAGAAGGTTATGCTTCAGGTGCTGGATGTGAAATGAAAAGACTTTATCGATGTGCTACACAGGTACATTTATGAGTTCTCTTACGAGCAAACCCTCCCAAATTCCAGTGGCAGTACAAGCCCCTCTGAGCTGCTCCAGCCTCTTGGCAAAGCTTTGTGTTTAAAGAAGGGACGTTTAACTTGTATACCTTAAGAGCGGGCTCTGGGCTGACTTGTACTAAGGAGGTTACTGGGGAAAGCTTAAAGGAAGTGCTCTAGATCTGTACTCAGTGGTTCCCAGGTGCAAGTATACTTTCAAGTAGGGGTGCAACTGAACTGCAGACAGCATTCCAGCCACCAAAAAGCCATACTGGCCTGGGAGATGCACGTTCCAGCCCTGCAGAGTAGAAAATGAGATCTTCAGAGGCTGAATATCTCAGCATGAGAAGTCTGGCCCAGTCAGCATGATTTCCTACTCTTCTTTTCAAAGGGTAGGATTTATGTTTATTGTTCTTTCTACAACAGCATTTGTCAGGGCAAAGCAAGCAAAATGCATAAAGAAATTATGAATGCTTGTGTTGTGCATTATATTATGTAACACCTTTGGGCATAGCCTATCTGGAAATAACAGAGAATAGAGAAAAAAGTATAAGAGGTAATAAGCATGCAACAATGAACATAAAAAGAAAATCTTTGCCAAATGAAGACAAAAATTAAAGGACCTACTAGTGACCTCGTACTCAGAGCTATTTTTAAATGGCTATTTCAAATCCTGATGTTAAAGGCAGTTGGAATTTTGCCATTAGCTTCATTGGGGACAGCAGTTCATTGCATTGTGACCCTTCTTATCTTTTGTGTGTTTTCCTCCTTAGCCCCACACTCGGTAGACTGACTCCAATGCCTGTGTAGTCTTACATGTTTTCAGAAACCCATTGAAAACACTATTGGTCTCTCCATACAGACCAGATTGATAACTTAGGCGAACTCCTAACATCCAGGCTACAAGGAAACAGAAAAATCAAAGATGTTTCCTCTCACATCTTTAAACCAAGCATGGTGGATGCCAAGTAACTCTGTGTGTGTGTGTGTACACCTGGTTCAATGCTCTTCCTCTAAAACATTTACTCTTGCCACTGTGTCCAAGACAGGATATTGGACTCAGAGTAGACTCAGTATGGCACTTCTTACATCCTTGAGGTAAGAATCCCTGACTCTATAGCTATATTTGCATGCATGAAGTGCAAGAACACAAGTCTGCAAGAGAAAGATCTTATAGTGTAAAGTCATCAGGACAGAGACTAGTCCCGTTATTGCTGTATGTCTGCAATGAACTTCAGATGCTTGTTGGGAGTTTCTCATAGTGAAAAGGTGGCATAAAAATGCTTCTTAACTTGGATGCCTTGCTGAACTTCACATAGTAACTGGTAACCATTCTTATTCATTCACTCTTAAAAATGATTTTTTTAAAGATTATAATTCAGACAAAAATGATGGAGACCAAAAGAGTTATGGAATAATTTGCAGCTCAGGTGAGCTTTGTGTAAGGTCAAAATTATAGCGTTATCTATAGGAGTTAAGGGCCATATCTTTCACTGGTGAGAACTGGTGTAGCTGCAGGGGTGGTGCAGCTCCCTTCTCTTCAGTGAACTAAGGTCTTTATTCCTTACTATATTCTGCTTTTGCACCCACTTTATCCAGGTGTAGATGAACACGGAAAGTGCCAGTATGCAGAGAATTAGTTCCTAAGGTGGTAAATGTAGATTTAATTCCTTATAACAAGACATACTGTAACTGTCTTCTGTGTGGCCTTTTGTCCAGCACCCTCAGTGCTACCAATAGGGGGAAGAGCTATTATAGACTGACTACCTCCAATT